AGTCACCACAGAGTATCGTGTCCAGCTCTTTGTAGAGCCAGCAGCTCGTGGGGGCAGCACCGGAGTGGCAGTTTGCCTCCCACGCCTTGTGGTAGGCATGCCGCAGCTCCTTCACTTTGACCCTGCATTGCAGTGTGTCCCATAGGTATCACAATTCCTATGACTAGAGTGCAGCTGCGACCGGACAGCCTCCTCTCCCCAAATGCTGATGAGGTCCAGCAGCTCAGCATTGCTCCAAGCAGGGGATCACCCGGTGCATGGAGCAGGCATGGCCACCTGGAAAAATGTGCTGAGACCACTGCATGCATCACTGAGCAAACAGGAAAGGGACATTCAAAATTCCAAAGGAATTTACGGGGTGGGGGTGACGGTTGGTCATCTGAGGCCAGGGCAGCAGAATTCAAACCCATGATCGGAGAGGCAAGAACAGGCATTGTGGGACACCTCCCGGAGGCCAATTGCAGCGCTGCAATCAACCAGGGTGCCTACACAGTAGCCCTGATGCAGAAAGCTGTACGCCTCTCTTCGGGGTGGGTTTTTTACAGCGCTGCAACTGTGCAGTTTCTGCACACTACGTGGCTTGGCAGTGTGTACACCTCGGGAATTACAATGCAGAAAGCTGTTTTACTGTGCAGAAACTTGCCACTGTAGACACAGCCTCAGTGTCACAGATTGTTTAGCATAAGCAGTTCACCTTGAATGGTCCCTTGAAATATGTGTTAAGTGGCCAGTTAACACCTCTTTCACCAACAGAAGTTGGTCCAAGAAAAGATATTACCTCACCTGCCTTGTGTCTCTAATATCCTAGGATCAACAGAGCTACAACACTGCATACATTAAATAATTGAGAACATCTGTGATATGAACAATCTTGGCCACAATATTCGCACATGAGATGTAAAAATGAAGATTATTTACCAGTAACGGGGAGTTATTCACAATGGGTCTGTTCCCATTCAAGAGATTAAGGCAATGCACCGGAAGCTTCCTGAAACTCTGTGGGGGATACCCACCTCTCCCCTCTTCCCCTCTTGAAGGGCTCTGATGGTGGTATAAAAGGGGAAGTTGTCCCAACCACCCTTCCATTCCCTTCCACTAATTCAAGAATTAAGACTCCAATGAAGTGAGGAAGATAGGTGGGGGGATGTGAACATGCAGAGGATCATCTTGATGAATTCCAGTTACTGGGAAGTAGCCTTCTTTTCTTGAGTGGCCTGTGCACATTCCCAGTTGTGAACGTTTAGCTAGCAGTGCAACTCCAAGGAAGGTTGCACTGAGGAGTTATAGTGAACTAGTCACAACTGCCAAAAGAAGCATCAACAACAACAACAACAAAGAATGGAGGCCAAAACCTCAGAGTTAGAGTTTATAGTTCTGTACCTTATCCTTTCTAAAGTCAAACCTCTATAATACATTATTTTCTTCAAACCATTTCTTAGGGCAAAGCCTATTTTTGAAAAATTACAACTTACAGCTTGTCCATTGGCTTCATAAAGTGGGCATTTTTGTTTGATCTTAGCCAGTTCCATATTTACTTGTTTGCTGACCACAGCCATTGGATTCCCTCCTGGAAGAGATTTTGTATAAGTATATCTGACATTCAAGCAAAGACTAAAAAGATGTCTGAAAATAAAATAAATACAGTTCAAAAGCAGCCATTATTCCAATAATAAAGCCCATTAGTATATCTCTATTTTGTGCTGAGCATCTTTCAGCAGACCAGTAGAACTGTCAAATATTATCAAGGCTCCTCATAACAATTGTTATAATAAAAACAACCCAGCACCACCACCACTCAAGGAAAGAACTATAGATAAGGAGGGTAAATAACAAAGAAGCTAAGCTTGAAGATGGTGGCAACTAGCAGGACAGCCTTGAGAGTTAACAGCCACAGGGATGCAGCTCCCAGAGGTTCAAATATAGACCAGAACAAACTGTGAAGTAGAGAGAGAAGATCACATCGAGGGATAAAGGCTCTGAAATGGGCTCTGAAAAGTTTGGGACAGTAGAGATCCGAGGAATACAGTTCACAAAGGCTGAGTGAAACAAAGTGCTGGTGCAATGTGCAGATATGCATCACTGAGGTCCACTAAGCTGGGAAAGGCCTGAAGGAAACAGAATGGAGAACGGTTCAAGTCTCCATACAGAAGCGAGACTTGCAGACCCTCCAGTGGAGGAGAGGGAAGTCTAAGATGTCTGAAGGCTCTGAACTCTTCTCCACTAGAAAACAGTGGGAATAGAAGTCCCGCCCCTTTCCTGTAGGGGTACAAGGAAAAGCCTTGAGGAGACTGGCTCTTTATGTCAGATTATCACCATTCTATCAGGGGTATTAAAAGAACAATAAAGGTTGCAAAGTGAGTCACTCAAAAGTTAAGAAATGCCAGAATTCAAGTTGCCCATGCAACTTTAATTCGGTCTCCTTGTACATAGTTTTATAATACACAATCATAATGCATATCACATACTATTTATTCCAAAGGACCCATGCTTCATTCAGTGAATGGGTAGCTATTCAATATTTCTTTATCCTTCTTGCTTAATGTGTGGCCTTATTTAATGCACACCATTCAAACTCCGCACTGTATACAGAATTAGTAATTTCCTCATTGGCAGTTTCTCTGGTGCTCTCACCATAATACCCAAGTGCTTCACTAATATTTATGAATTTATCTTCACAACAGTCCTGTGAGATTAGGCAGTAATGTTATCCCAATTCTTCAGTGGGGATCAAGGCCAAAATTGTTAGGAGTGTCCAACTTCAAACTCCTAGATCCCATCACATTCAGTTGCAGTTGTGAGTGCTCAGCACTATACAATATTGACTGCAGATATTGGACACTGGACACCTAGAAAAACAACACAATTAGTAACCTACTGTGACAGTCTGGGTTAAGTGACTTTCTCAGCACCACATAGGAACTCTGTGGCAGAGGCAGGGAACACCATCCACTTCTCCAGGTCAGCAATAAACTTTAACCACAAAACCACACCTCTTCCAATTCCTGCAACAAATGAGGTAGAACACACAACCTCATTTGCTACACAGCACTGATTCAGTCCCAAAGTACATTACATCCTGTGTACTGAATGATGCAGGGGTCCTGTGGAAAAAAACTAGTATGTGACCATGTAATTGAAAACTATAGTAACTCCTCATTTAAAATCATCCTGGTTAATGTTGTTTCGTTGTTACCTTGCTGATCAATTAGAGAACATGCTCGTTTAAAGTTGTGCAATGCTCCCTTATAACATTGTTCAGTGGCCGCCTGCTTTGTCCACTGCTTGCAGAAAGAGCAGCCCGTTGGAGCTAGCTGGTGGGGGCTTGGAACTAGGGTGGACCGGCAGCCACCCTATCAGCTCCCTGCTCCCCTAAGTTCCCTGTGTTGCAGCCGCCCAGCAGGCTATCAATTGCCAGGCAGTTCAGCTATTCCTCCCCTCACTGCTGTGTGCTGCTCCTGCCCTCTGCCTTGGAGCTGCTCCTGGGAGCCCCCTGCTTGCTGTGGCGGGGCAGGGGGAGGAGGGGGCGGGAAGGAGGGAGAGAGAGAGAGAGAGGTGCTAATATCATGGTGTCCTTCTGCCCCCCATCTCTACTTAAAAGGGCAGTGTACTTAGAGTGGAGTCAGCGTACTTAAAGGGTGTACACACAGGGTGTATGTCTGTGTCTCTCTCTCTGCCATGCTGTCTCCTCTCCCTCCATTCGTGCTGCCTTGTAGAGTGTGAGGCTACATTAACAACATGTTAACCCTTGAGGGCTCAGCCAAGTGCTAGTTCATCATTTAGCAGTAAGTATCAGAGGGGTAGCCGTGTTAGTTTGAATCTGTAAAAAGCAACAGAGGGTCCTGTGGCACCTTTAAGATTAAACAAAGACTATGAATGGCTATCCAACTACAGAAGCAGTTTCTCCTCCCTTGGTGTTCACACCTCAACTGCTAACAGAGCACCTCACCCTCCCTGATTGAACTAACCTCGTTATCTCCATACTGATTTATACCTACCTCTGGAAATTTCCATTACTTGTGTCTGATGAAGTGGGCATTCACCCACAAAAGCTTATGCTCCAATACTTCTGTTAGTCTTAAAGGTGCCACAGGACCCTTTGTTGCATTTAGCAGTAAGGCATTCCCTGGGAAATATCCCACCCTCTTCCACCCTCTGACTCAACCACTCAGCCAAGCTTCACAATCATCATTGCTGTGTACAGTATTAAACTGGTTTAAAACTTCTGGTGTGGGTGTGTGTGTGTTAGTCTTTTGTCTGGCAAAAAAATTTCCCTGGAACCTAACCCCCCTATTTACATTAATTCTTATGGGGAAACTGGATTCACTTAACCGCATTTCGCTTAAAGTAACATTTTTCAGGAACATAACTACGTTAAGCGAGGAGTTACTGTATCATAATACATATGGACAAGAGGGCTGAATTAAGTCTGCACAGCCCACCTTAAATCTTGCATTTCCTATCTTTGAAGTACTTGACCTTCCCATCTTTGAAAAAACACATTAAAAACCGTTTAAAAAAAATAAAGCTAAAACCCAGAAATTCTACCATCTGGAACCATATGACACCAGTTTTGGTCATCAGTAGCTTCAGAGATCTACCACTGAGTAACTAACTGAGTAACTAACACTAGTAGCCCATTATCCTTTATAGACCAGTCACTAGGGGGGACAAGATGCACTTGTGTGTTCTACTGGTTATAAATCCTTTTACACTGTGCTCCAGCCCTGTCTTTTCCCCCCCTTTGTTCCTATCCAACCCCCATCTTTGCTCTTATCTAACTTCCTCCATATCCCCAGCTCTTGCCATCCTCATCCCCCTGTGCTCCTACATATGCACCCACCTCCCTCTGCTCCTATCCATCACCCCTCAAGTCCGCTTCCTCCCACTCTCTAGCTCTGCTTCTCCCCAATCTATGGCTCCTGGCTCCAAGCCCAGTACTCTATTTCTCACCCCTATGCATTCCACTGTGGTTGCTTCTTCCTCCTTTTTCTCCATTCTGTCTGGGCGCCAAAAGAAAACCTTAAGAACACAGAAGAGTCTTCCCATTCTCAGTTCGAGTGCCTAGTTCAACAGTGGCCCCTGGCAGCTGAAAGAAGCAATTGCGGGGAAGTCCTGCTCAGCCCTTGCAGCTTGGGATGGAGCATGCACAGTACAGCTAGACATACACTTAAGGGAATTACTAGGCAAATTAACTCCTCTCTGAGCATGTGCAAACTGAGATTTTTCAGCAGCTCGTAGCTTGGCCAAACACGGACTGTTTTCCACAGGAAAGCAAAGGACACACCATGGGTCCGACCAAATTTCAAGTGCCTGCTCCAAAGCATGGAGATGCTAAAGCTTTATCTTTGAAAAGTCATGGACGGGAGAGATTCCAGAAAATTGAAAAAGGGGCAAATATAGTGCCAATCTATAAAAAGGGAAATAAAAAACAACATGGGGAATTACAGACCAGTCATCTTAACTTCTGTACCTGGAAAGATAATGGAGCAAATAATTAAGCAATCAATTTGCAAACATCTAGAAGATAATAAGGTAATAAATAACAGTCAGCATAGATTTGTCAAGAACAAATTGTGTCAAACCAATCTGATAGCTTTCTTTGACAGGGTAACAAGTCTTGTGGACTGGGGGAGGAGGAGAAGCGGTCGATGTGATATATCTTGACTTTAGTAAAGCTTTTGATACTGTCTCGCATGACCTTCTCATAAACAAACTAGGGAAATACAAACAAGATGGAGCTACTATAAGGTGGGTCCAAAACTAGTTGGAAAACCGTTCCCAGAGAGTAGTTATCAGTGGTTCACAGTCGTGCTGGAAGGGCATAACAAGTGGGGTCCCACAGGGATCACTTCTGGGTCCAGCTCTGTTCAATATGTTCATCAATGATTTAGATAATGGCATAGAGAGTACACTTAAAGTTTGTGGACAATACCAAGTGGGAGGGGTTGCAAGTGCTTTGGAGGATAGGAATAAAATTCAAAATGATCTGGTCTGAAGTAAACAGGGTGAAATTCAATAAGGACAAATGCAAAGTACTCCACTTAGGAAGGAACAATCAATTACACACATACAAAATGGGAAATGACTGCCTAGGAAGGAGTACTGCGGAAAGGGATCTGGGGGTCATAGTGGACCAAAAACTAAATGAGTCAACAGTGTAACACTGTTGCAAACAAACAAAACAAAAAAAAAGCACGAACATCTTTCTGGAATGTATTAGGAGGAGTGTTTAAGCAAGACACGAGAAGTAATTCTTCCGCTCTACTCTGCGTTGATTAGGCCTCAACTGGAGGGAGTACTTCAAATTTCAGGAAAGATGTGGACAAATTGGAGAAAGTCCAGAGAAGAGCGACAAAAATGATAAAAGGTCTAGAAGACAGGAGCTATGAGGAAAGATTGAAAAAACTGGGTTTGTTTAGTCTGGAGAAGAGAAGACTGAGAGGGGACATAACCGTTTTCAAGTACATAAAAGGTTGTTACAAGGAGGAGGGAGAAGAATTGTTGTTCTTAACTTCTGAGGATAGGACAAGAAGCAATGGGCTTAAATTGCAGCAAGAGAGGTTTAGGTTGGACTTAAGGGAAAACTTCCTAACTGTCAGGGTGGTTAAGCACTGGAATAAATTGTCTAGGGAGGTTATGGAATCTCCATCATTGGAGATTTTTTGAGAGCAGGTTAGATAAACACCTGTCAGGGATGGTCTAGATCGCTGTTTGTCAAATGCGGCCACCGTGGCCGCATGCGGCCACCAGGGGGTTTCCCTGGAGCCACAGCAGTTTCCTGTTTCCCTGTTGCTCCTGCATGCGCCGCCTCACTGGAGACACAGATGGGACACACAACGCTTAAGGAGCAAGGTGAGGCGGCAAAGAGGGGATGAGAAGGGCAGCAACAGGCTGAGGAGTCAAGCGGCGAGGTGAGCAGCAGGCGGGGGAGTCTGGTGGGGGAGTAAGGCGGCAAATGGCAAGCCAGCAGCAGGGTGAAAAGGCAGGTGGGGGGGGGCGGCTGTGAGGAGGCAAGCAGGGATGTGTGTAAGGAGGCAAGCGGTGAGGCGAGCAGCGG